ACCACCACGTCCACCGCGGCCGCCTCTGCCCCTTCCTCTCCCTCCATCACCTCTACCGCCACCATAACTTTTTAAGCCGCCGCCACCTCTAGGGCCTCCAGGGTTTCTTCCTCATCCTTCTCTCCCTCATCACCTCTACCGCGACCACTTCTGCCCCTTCCTCTCTTTCTCTATCTCCTCTACCGCCGCCACGACTTTTAAAGTAGCTGCCACCTCTGAGGCCTCCAAGACTTCTTCCTCCTTCGAATCCCCTTCCTCTTCTCCCTCCATCCCGTCGGTCGCCTCTGAACCCTCCACCATCATGGCATACAAATCAATCAACTAAATACAAAGGAAAAAAAAAAAAAAAAAGGGGGGGGGGGGGGAGGGGGGGGAATAAAATAATAAATTATCTACAATGGTAATTTTACATTACCTAATTTTTTTAATATTATTTCATTTATATTATAGAGGATATTAATGTCTTTTTATGCAAATAGGGGGGTAATTGCACCAAATTGATAATATAAGGGGGGTTTTATACCACACATGTAACGACCCAAAATGATACCAAAAATATAACAATAACAATAATAAAATAAATAAAATTTCGGCATGACCTCCACAGAAAAATCCCTCTACAACCTGTTGAAATGCATAAAATATGCAATTACCTCACTGGGCCTCAAAACTAATCTATCATGTCCCAACGCACAATGCAATAAAATACAACATTCCCAAAATCAACACATACGTACAAAATGTCTCGTTCCTCCATCTCATCCAAACAAGGGATCACTTTAATTAAGTTACAATCCATGAAATATATTTATTTGCACAAATTCTACCATTACAACACTATATAAGTTACACTTAATTTTTATAAAAGGTACATGAACATATTTCTATACAAAAGATAACAAAATAAGAATTCTAGTCCAGTCTTAATTTACGATGCATTGTTGCCCGCCCATTCTTTTCCTAAACCTAAAAAAATGTTAAAATGATGGGGTGAGCAGAAAGCTCGGTAGGAAGTGTCTAAGACACACCTCTTATGACCCCGTGAATCCACATATAGAATAGATATCAAAAGAACGGGATCATACAATACTAGAGATATAATCCATAATCACAACATCAAATATAACCACAATTGTTATTCAAGTCACAATTATACCATGTATGCCAATGAAATGCAATGCCATGCCCATGTTGCTCCCCATTTTCCGAAACATTACCGTTTCAACTTCCAAATCGTTGGTGCAATCCGACCCAAGGCACCTCCAAGGTGTCATGAAGGGAGGATTGGTTAACTATCCACTACCACAAGGCACCTCCAAGGCGTTGCATCCGGCCTAGTTAGCTCAATCTCTAGTCCCCTCTAGATTACACTAACGCCACGGAACACTAAGCGCCTCCTAAGCGTCCGGTTTTCACAAACACTTTTCAAAAACTTTTTCCAAAAATAATTTCATTTGTTTTTAAAACAAACTTTTCCTTTCACTTTCCCAATGGCAATGCATGAATTGTGCAATTTCTTCAATGCTATGACAATATAAAAATTTCGTACATATCATCTACATCATTTAAGCATGTGTAAAACATGAATTTTCACACAATATCACATTCTCATATTTCTAAATTATGGCATTTTACATACTTTCAATTCGCAAATCCAACAACTTAATTACATACGGCATAAAATAAAATCATTTATTTTCATAACTACAACATCACTTTCCATAACAATTTAAAATCATAAGGCATATAATACATCAACTAAACATGTTTCTTCACCACAAGAATTTAATCATATTCATAAGCTCACTTAACACATAACATGTCTTTATCACCTTAAATACCAACGACCACAACAAACATAATCAAGATAATTAAAATTAAGCATGCTTAGAGTAAAATTAAAGGAAAAATTCACAAGAAATCCAAGAAATTGTGGATTAGAGCACCCCTACCTCAATGAATGCAAAAAAAAAACCCCAATTATGCTCAAAATTTCGAAATCCAAAGGGTAACCAAATTAAACTTTACTCCAATCAAAATGACGACCTCAACGAGCTCTACAACTTTGCCCAAGGAAGTACTATCAAATTCTCAAAGACAAAGGGGGAATCAAGTCTTGAAAATCGTAGCAAAAGAAAAAGAAAAAATGCAAGAAATGAGGGGGGAGAGATTCTGCCGAGAGGGTGAGATTTTGAGGTCTAAATGGCTTTATGACCATTAAAAAAGTAAGTGGAAGGTGAGTCCCTCCACTAAGATATATATATATATATAATAAACATTACAACACAGGGATTGTTTTGCACTGTATCGATAGCAGATGGGGTTTTTTGAATTTATTTTATGTGAATTTTGACCAAAAAGTGATCAAATTGACTTATTTGTACTTTTTATTTTTTATTTTTATTGACTGAAATACACATTTTCAAAAAATAGGACTATTTATGTAGAAACCGTATCTATCAGGTTTTTTTTAGTTTGTAAATTATACATATATATATACACACACACACACACACACACACACACACACTTTTAAATTATCAATTATCAGTTAATTAATTTGTTTTCAATTAGACTATCTAATCAATTTAGTTAAGGGTTAAGTGCAAAAAAATTTCTTTACTATTGATATAGTGCAAAACAGTCACTGTGTGGTATAAAACCCTCCTATATTATTAATTTGGTGCAATTACCCTCTCTGTTTGCATAAAAAGACATTAATACCCTCTCTAATATAAATTGTTGGGTTAAGTGCAAAAAAACTTCTGATATATAGGGTTTGTACAAAAATAGTCTATACTTTTTGAAAATGTGCATTACAGTACATAAAATTCAAAAAATGGTGCAAATAAGCCCATCTGACCATTTTTTGGTCAAATTTGACATAAAATAAATTCAAAAACTCTATTTTGCCCATTTATTTTCCTATTTTACCCTTTTCTCCTACGCTCCACCACCACCACCATCCTCACCACTAAGTTTATTCTGGCCATTCAATTCAACCTCATAGCCAAAGTTTAGTGCCGATCTGTTGAGTTAACTCAGTGTGTCATCAAACAAAGACACATCACAAACCCAGCAGTTGGTGGCTATTGGCGATGGTGAAGGACAACGAGCTCGGAACGACATTAATATGTCATCGATGATGGTAACTAATGAGAAGGGTCTAGATCTATTGGTGTTTCTTGTTTGGTAAGGATGGGAGCTTTCCGTCGAAGTTTGGTTGACAGTGAAAGATTGAGGTTTCATTCTACGATGATGAGACGGAGGATGGTGAACCCCATGAGGTGGTTCTAGACGAGAGTGGTTTCGCCGCCTCTGAGGAAGAGGTCTGTAGGGTTGACAAAGTACAATCCGGCGGCAATGAGAGCCTCTGCGATAGCTATGACACTCAACCACTACTTTACTCTCTCCCTTCATTCCACCACCACGTCCACCGCGGTCGCCTCTGCCCCTTCCTTTCCCTCCATCACCTCTACCGCCACTACAACTTTTTAAGCCGCCGCCACCTCTGGGGCCTCCAGGGTTTCTTCCTCCTCCTTCTCTCCCTCATCACCTCTACCGCGGCCACTTCTACTCCTTCCTCTTTCTCTGTATCACCTCTACCGCCACCATGACTTTTAAAGTAGCTGCCACCTTTGGGGCCTCCGAGACTTCTTCCTCTTCCGAATCCCCTTCATCTTCTCCCTCTATCATGTCGGCTGCCTTTGAACCCTCCACCACCACGGCATACAAATCAATCAACCAAATACAAAGGGAAAAAAAAAAAAGGGAAAAAGAAAATAATAAATTATCTACAATGGTAATTTTACATGCCTAATTTTTTTAATATTATTTCATTTATATTAGAGAGGGTATTAATGTCTTTTTATGCGAATAGAGGAATAATTGCACTAAATTGATAGTATAGGGGGATTTTATACCACGTAGGGATTGTTTTGCACTGTATCAATAGTAGAGGGGAGTTTTTTGAATTTACTTTATGTCAATTTTGACCAAAAAGTAGTCAAAGGGGCTTATTTACACTTTTTTTGAATTTTATAGATTGAAATGTACATTTTTAAAAATAGAACTATTTCAACACAAATCTTATATATTAGAGTTTCTTTTAACACTTAACCCTTTAGTTAAATGTGGATAGTTAAGTTAGCTTATGAATATATATATATATACACACACTATAATCAGAAACCAGGAGATGGATCCTTTCAATCCAAATATCTTTTTGGATTGTCAGAGTGGTCAAGATTTAGTTGAATTTAAAACGCAAAATGCATGATTAAAATTTGTATAATTTAGGAAAGAGATTTGATCGGAAACAAGAATGTACAAAATATAACTTTAATAAAACTAAAATTAATATTAAAACCAGCTTTTATTTAACATGGATGAAGTTTGGAGTCTATTAATTTCATATTTTTACTCTTCTTCTCAAACCCTATCTTTAACCTAACGAATGAATAATGCCAAAATAAAGAAAAGAGACAGCATGATGTTATTTTTTTTTTAGATAAGTAACGATAGAAAATTAGAAAGTCTACAAATTCTACTTATTTATTTGAGTGGAGCTGATGTTATTAATAGGATAAATTTGACTATTTTATATAAATAGATATTGATATAAATAGCTATTGATTTCATCTTAATATCAAAAATATTAATGATGTCAGCTTCAATTAAATTATTCGGAGATGTCTACCTGTCGTATTTCAAATAGTTATCTTTTAGATTATTCTCAATTAAAATGTTAATGAAGAGAAATAATGATTTTTTTGTCAAGAACTCATTCAAATTTTTTTTTTTTTTTTTTTTTGCTATTTCCAGAATGTCCAGAAAATTATTTTAAAAAATAAAAAATAAAAAATAAAAATAACTTTTAGTCCAGAAAATTAAAATGGATAGATGCTAACCCGAATGGCATTAAGGTAGTTAATCTCAAGAAGAGGGGTAGTTGTAACAAAAAGGCGAGTTAAAAGCATCAGCTTTCATCAACGCCCTTTTCTGTTCATTTCATTTCCCTTCCCCTTCCTTTTTGTATCTCCTGTTCTCTTCCTCTTCTTGCTGCGATCTATAGATACAGATATATAGATATATACCTACACATATAGATATAGAGAGGGGAAGATGTGGCGCTGCGTCTCTCGCCTGAGATCAATCCCCACGGAATCCGTCAAACCTCGCATTCAGAGATTCTTCTCCACCGAGACGGTAAGATCTCTCTCCTTAATTTCGATCAATCACCATTTTTTGAATCTTACAGTTTTCGAAAGCTCATATCGTAGTATAATATATATATATATATATATATATATATATATATCTTAACATTTTTTTTTTTAATTTTGTATTTTTATCTAGAGACGATTGTAAGGGCTCGTTGTGTTTCTTACTGATACTTTTCTATCACCAATTGCTCATTATATCTACATTCTTTCAGTTTGTTTGACAAATTTGTGAATATGTTTTGTGTTTTAGTGTCTCAGCTGTATTTAATTTTTGTATATATATTTTGATTCTTAGCTTAGTGTATTTCCGACTTGCTCGAATGTTTTGGACTTAGATTTTTTAGTTTATTGTGTTTGAAATTAGTTTTGTTGCAAAATTTGTTTGGTACAGACTGTGGGAAGATCGTCCTATACGATAGTTGATCATACGTATGATGCAGTTGTGGTAGGCGCTGGCGGCGCGGGGCTCAGAGCAGCCATTGGGCTTTCTGAGCATGGATTCAACACCGCTTGCATTACCAAGCTCTTCCCAACTCGGTCACACACCGTTGCAGCTCAGGTATGAAGTTATCAGCTCACTATATGTATCATGTGTGTTTGGGTTACTCTTCAATGTAGGTTATAAGTTTACATTTCTTTATGCATATTGTTAACTATAGAAAATTGTGGATCCCTTATACAAGAAGATGGTTTTCATAGCGTCCATTAATTAAGTGGGGTTCCGAATTTCAATGGATTGTAGAATTTGTCCTTTATCAACGATTCTTGGGTTCATGTGTAACTGTGACTTGCAATGGTACAGCATCGTTTATGGGGTGTTCTATTTTGACAATGGTAATGGTTCTTCTAGCCTTTTTCATGTCTTGATTTTGACCAGAGCAATTCTATTTCTGGATTTTATACCTATTTGGAGCATTCTAGATCAATAATTGATGACCTTTTGTTTTCACCTGAACTTCACTATGCATAGCTTGACCACCAAATGAAGGCTGGAGGTTGGACTGGAAGGATCAGTTGTTGTGGGATTAAGCTTTGTTGAGTTGATTTGAGTGATTTCAGGGATGAGCATCCTTATACAAAAGATCCTGTTTAAACCTTAGCCACCTTTAAGCTTCAGCAAATAGAGTAGTCGACACGAGTATTATTAATGGCAATCTGGACATCTATGATATGAGTTTTCTGTTTTCTCAGACACACACAACTATATTTAAGTATTGCAGGTTTTAGGTGTATAAAAGTAGGAACTGTATATAAGAATTCAGGAGAGTTGTCAGTATGGCATAGTTGAATTCATTTACGATTCTCTTCATACTGTGGGCAAAGTGATTTTGAAGGAATTAGAGATCTCTTACAACTATTAATCACTGAGGAGGTTGAAGAAAGTTATGGGAGTACCACTTTCCATAGGAATTGAAAATTGCCCTTGAACTCTTGCTCTCACCACAACATGGATGGACCATACGTTTCCCTTCTAGAAAGCCTACCCCCGTGAATCTATGGCTTCATCCTGGTCCTTTATACATACTTATTAGGATTTTACCATTAAAATGGGATATTAGATTTTCAGAAACCAGCCTGTTTACATCTGGCATTGGAAGCTGCTAGATTTATGCATTCCTTGAGGTAAGTAGGTAGCTTTTGTTTCCTTCATATCATATTCAGTTTTATACCAATACTAACACAAGCTACAATAGCTTTTCAAGATAGTGCTTAATTGTTGTAATAAAAAATTGTAGTAATGTTGTTCTAGGAATGGCATGCAGTATATTGTTTCATTGATTTTATATTGCATCTAGCTGCACAGGCTTTACTGTAACCGTATGAAGTTTCTTTATTGATGATCTGGCTATGTTTCTAGTCTCTGATAGCAATACTCTGTACAGGGTGGTATAAATGCTGCACTAGGAAATATGTCCGAGGATGACTGGAGGTGGCACATGTATGACACGGTTAAAGGAAGTGACTGGTTAGGTACAATGCTCGTCAGGATTATACCCTCTTTTATCTCTATTTAGCATGCATATGAAGCTAGTGTTCTATACTAAGAAGCACGGAGACGGATACGGGACACTGATATGACACGACACTGACACGGCGACATGGCAAATCCAAAAAAATTAGGACACGGATATATATATGTGTGTATGTGTGTGTGTGTGTGATGTAGTACTTTAAAAATTACTAAGTGTTACTATTTTTCATCAACCTTACAATGAAAAAAAAACACAAATCATAACTCATGACTAATAAATTATAAAAGAACAATGTTGCATAGTTATAAAACCAAATAAAAAACAAGACATTAGAATAATAATTAGCATCATTTAATCATCATTGCAACTTTACTCCAAATACAAAAGCATAGACAGAAAGGACTATCAACATTCATGACTTAACCGTTAGCAACATTCACAAAAACCTAAAGGCTAGTCTCCAAAAAATATACAAAAACAAGTCAGTGTACTATCATCTATTCCCATCCACATTTGACCTAGGATTTTTACCATTTATAATACCAAAAGGGTAGTACAAAACAAAAAACAGAACATATTAGCATAAAAAAAAAAAAATTTTAAAAAAATTCCAGACGTGTCTGTAGAGTGTCCGAAAATTAAAAAAAAATAAAAAAATTCCAGACACGTTTTTTGGTGTGTCCGACACGTGTCGGGGCGTGTCCGTGTCCGTGTCCGTGTCTGTGTCCGACATGTGTCGAACACGGATTCTTCGCCCATTTTGGCATGTCCGTGCTTCCTAGGTTCTATATAAATGAATTGTTTACAATCGAGGCACTTTCTCACTTGCATCAAAGTTTAAGAAAATATTGTTTATCCAGTACAGATATTTTTATTATTATTTTATCCTGGTGCTGTTCCTTGCATTTTCTCTGACATTGTTCAAAGAAGTTTTCTTTATTAATATTGTGGGATAATTACTGCTTTTCTATTTTTATTAACCTATCATTTCAATTGATATTGACGCAAGGAGTGTTGTGATTATATAGGTGACCAGGACGCTATTCAATATATGTGTAGGGAGGCACCTAAAGCAGTGATAGAGCTTGAGAACTATGGCTTACCATTTTCCCGAACTGAAGAAGGCAAAATATATCAACGCGCATTTGGTGGTCAAAGTCTGGACTTTGGGAAAGGTACTAAGCTGCTAATTTGTAATTGGAATATTTTACATGGTTTCTGTGGAAAGCTACCTGATCATGGCTTCTTGTATGTCAATTTCTTAGGTGGACAAGCATATCGTTGTGCATGTGCTGCTGATCGAACTGGGCATGCTCTGTTGCATACTCTTTATGGCCAGGCTATGAAACACAATACACAGTTTTTTGTCGAATATTTTGCTTTGGATCTAATAATGGATAGTAATGGTATGTTAATGCATAGTCACTCTAATGTATTACTCATCATAAAAAATAAAAAATTATTTCGTTTTTGCTATTATTTGATGATGGGAATAATATGCCACACTTAGACAACTAGAAATATAGAAAAAGAAAGAGATAGTAAGACACTTATTTGATTTGTTTGCCTGAAGAAAAGCTGTGCTGGGATGTCTGGAACTTTTTCTAGGAGCAAAATTCAGAGAGATTATAGCAGCAAAACCTTTCTCTGCTTCCATCATCATCATCCTTGCCTTAATTTCCCTTATGAATAGGTTCAGCCACATGAATTCTCTGTCTCCATTCCTTTCTATTACCCGCCATATTACCTACTATGTTTAACTTTTTAAAGTCATTTCTAATAACTTCATCCGACTTTATTTTTGGTATCCCTCTCTGTTTCTTACCTTCTACTCTCTCTTATTTTCTCGTTAATGGATGCCACACCTAATTTTTCTCTTACACATTCATTAGCGACCTTATCTACTCGAGTAACTCCAACCATCCTTTCTCTGCTTAAGCTGAAAATTATAATTGTTGGGTTGTTTGTTTTGTGACTCATGTGCATGCTCATGCCCTGAGAGGGATTGCAAACTTAACTGTGTAACTAGAGATTTGGCTGTTTGATAGTCCTTCTATGATCAAAGTACATAAAACGCAATGTAGCATTTGTACAAAATATATAGTCAAATTAAACCCACTATTAAGTTGCAATTCTTGGAGCCTTCGGTAACGTCATGCTGAAGTCATAATTTGTTAGTCCATTGTTGGGTTCAATACCCAAACCATGCTTGTCTTGCACACTAAAATAACAAGTTAATTGAAGATGGTTCACTTATTCGGGGAAAAATAAAGAAGAAAGAAAACTAACAATTAGAGATTATTCGATACTTGATCCATGAAGTCGAATTTAATTTAGTCAAAAGGTAAAATGAAATTCTGGTTTGGAGAAACTTATCAAAAAAAAAAAAAATTCTGGTTTGGAGAAGGAAGTAAATAGAATAGCCACCAATTCCAGGATGACATGATATTTCAAATTTGGCACGCAAAAGAAGCATGGAAGGAACATATACTCGAATTGTGAACTTAATGTACAATGTTTTCTTTGCAATGTTATTAAAGGGCTTAAGACAACCAATTCTTATCAACTGTAATTTGGTCCTGCTTCACAATACATGCACACACATGTATATGGTATTCTATTACAAAGGCACTTATTTATGCTGCCTATCATTTGTTTCGGTAAAGCTAGTTGACTATTGGTTTTGATATCAGGTAACTGCCAAGGAGTAGTTGCATTAAATATGGAGGATGGTACAATACATCGGTTCCGTTCTGCTTCAACAATTCTGGCAACTGGGGTATCTATGTTTGTCATTAAACTCTATTCGACTTCAGATTAGTGATACTTAAATCTAATTACTATGTTTTACATATCTCTCAGGGCTATGGTAGAGCATACTTTTCCGCAACCTCTGCTCATACATGCACTGGAGATGGCAATGCCATGGTTGCACGTGCTGGGCTCGGTCTTGAGGTATGTTTTGTTGCCTTTCTTTTTGAAATGTGTTCGTATGACTTTATTTCATTAACTTTCTTTGACTGTCGCTTATAATATTTCTTCTTGTAGGATCTTGAGTTTGTGCAGTTTCACCCAACAGGTATATATGGTGCTGGGTGCCTCATCACTGAAGGTTGGTGCTTTATACATCATAGTATTGAACTTGATTATGCTTGTACTGTATGATAAATGCAGATCTAATTCCGATGTCTCATTCCATTGTCTTCTCTATGTTACCAGTCTTTTATATGTAACTAATTTAACACACTATCCTCGTATTCACTCTCAAACAAAATTTTCTGCTCTTCTTTCCTGATTTCTTTCCGCCGCCTGTAGGATCTCGCGGTGAAGGTGGCATTTTGAGGAACAGTGAAGGTGAGCGATTCATGGAACGGTATGCCCCTACAGCCAAGGATCTTGCATCGAGAGATGTTGTTTCTAGATCCATGACTATGGAAATCCGAGAAGGTCGTGGTGTAGGTATGATCTCTTTGCTACCATCAGATTATAGTAGACATATAGTTAGCACAGGTTAGATGGCGAGAAATTGTCTTGTTGTCTATGGTATCCTAAATGCATGCACGCTTTTCTGGTCTTAGTTCAATTTGTAGCCATGTCTTTTTTCCTTCAAAGAAAGTTCCATCCCTAAGACCTACCGACCCCACCCACCGTTTTACCACCTGAATCACGGCCCAGAAGATAGATCAATTAACAGCCATTACTGGTAAATTGTATTTGGTTGTACCTGGTGGAAGAATAAATACCCATTTTGTTTATTTAGTTATTATTTATTTTGTGCATAACTTATACTTCTACAGAATAATAGTGGATTTCTTGGACTTGGTTATGTTGATTTTTGATAGGGCCCCATAAGGACCACATTTATCTCCACCTGAATCACTTACCTCCAGAGGTTCTCAAGGAGAGGCTTCCTGGTATCTCTGAAACAGCTGCCATTTTTGCTGGTGTTGATGTTACAAAGGAGCCTATCCCTGTTTTGCCTACTGTTCATTATAATATGGGTGGAATTCCCACGAACTATCATGGAGAGGTAAAATCTAATTGTACCATGTGCAGTTGATATCGTGGGATTGCTGCTTTATTCAGTACATGTGGTGAAAGTCTTTTCATTTGTAACTAAGATATTTTGCTCTCCAGGTAGTTACCATTAAAGGTGATGATCCTGATGTAGTAGTCCCTGGACTGATGGCTGCCGGGGAGGCAGCGTGTGCGTCAGTTCATGGTGCCAATCGGCTTGGTGCAAATTCTCTTCTTGACATTGTTGTTTTTGGTCGAGCTTGTGCAAATAGGGTTGCGGAGGTCCATAGACCAGGCAAGTCATCGTATCAAATTTCTTTGAATACACATTATGTGAATACAAATTAAGATGCCTCCACTTTATGTGTCCAGGGGAGAAACAAAATCCTTTGGAAAAGGATGCCGGAGAGAAGACTATTGCATGGTTGGACAAGATAAGAAATTCAAATGGTTCAATTCCAACTTCAAAAATCCGGTTGAATATGCAACGAGTAATGCAAAACAATGCTGCTGTATTCCGCACGCAGGAAACTTTAGAGGAAGGTATATGAAGAACCCCCATCCACTACTCAATCCTCCTCCCCAAAAAATACATAAATAAATAAATTATAAGCGTGGAAGGGAAAACGTGTATTTTTCTTTCGCTTCGTTGCTATGCCATGGCACATTTAACTTCATTCATTGTGCTGTACCAGTTTTGCTATAACATGCTTATCAGAAATGTCAAAAAGGCCTGAAAACAACACTACTACATTTTTTTTTCCTTGGCCGTTCACATCAATCTTTTTATCCTTTTAATCTATGCGCTTTTGCAGGTTGTCAGTTAATTGACAAAGTATGTGAAAGCTTTCACGATGTTAAGTTGGGGGATCGAAGTTTGATATGGTAAAATTTTGTTTATGAGGAAAATTATTTATAGAATTCCATGAAAATTACCATTTTTCATTGGCTTTTGTTTTCATACATCTTTGGCTAGGAACTCGGACCTGATAGAAACTATAGAGTTGGAAAATCTTTTGATCAATGCATGTATCACCATGCATTCTGCTGAAGCCAGGAAAGAAAGCAGAGGAGCACATGCTCGCGAAGATTTTACGGTTAGTTTGGATTCACTTTCAGTTTAAATCCCCCTTTCCTCCCCACTTCTGTGATAATGAAACTTAAATTGTGTGACTTTGCAGAAAAGAGATGATGAGAACTGGATGAAACACACATTAGGGTAAGTCCTTTTTTTCCCCTTAATTTTTTGTTTGGGAGTGGGCTGGTGTGGTTTTGTTTTTTCTCTTTTGAATTCCTTATCTTGAATGTTAATATTTTTGTATTAGGGTTATTAAGAAATTTAGAGTTCTGGTGCTTGGTATAAAAATTGGCTAAATTGACTTTTCTTATGAAAGCTACGAATTTGTCTGCTTAACACAAATGGAAGTTTAGGGTAGCGTCTAGGGGACTGCAAAAATAGTCTCCTAAGGTATAACTTTTTAAATCGAGTGCGTGGTAAGAACTTGTAGTGTGTTGAAAAATGTATGTGTAGCGCAACTGAACCACTCACATTCTCTTAGCCTTCATTTGTTTTGGAGTGTTCTAATTTTCACTGTTGACACAGCCCGTTTCCTGTAAATTTAAAAAACCAATATGAAAAAGAATGTGACCTTTTATCATCTTTAACTGGTGTAGAATAGTGATAAAAATAGCATCATGTACTTTGTGTTTAATCTGAGCATACTCGCAGTAGATATCTGAAATATGAGATATTGATTTCACCATCAATGGTGTTTACTGGTTTTTGGTTTCCTTGTTGAACAATGATGGGCAGTTTCACAAGTGTTTTATGCATTTTAGTAATGAGGAAATACTTTGTGTTACATAAAAACCTATTTGTTGTTGTCTTGATTTGCGTTTGATGCATTATTGGAAAATACCATTTGCTTCTCCTAAAATTTTGTCAATTAAAATTAGCTTATGTTAAATACGATCTTGCAGATTTTGGGAGAATGAGAAAGTCCGGCTAGACTATAGGCCGGTTCACCTGAACACATTAGACGATGAGGTTGAGACATTCCCACCTAAAGCTCGCGTTTATTGATACATGCTTATAAGACCAGGAAAGGTGCCGAGCGCGTATGATTTTTTTTTTGTTAAGGTTGTAATAATTTGTTTGAAATGCAATTATGATAATGATTATTGCATTCAACAACGAATCTGTAAATCTCTTGTAACTTGGTCTACGTTTTATATTCTGCAGCAACGAATATTTTTCGGGTACCATCTTTCAGTAATCAATATGCAGAGCTCTATATTCATTCTTGAGTTGCTGACTAGCATATAGCCTAGAAGTTAGAACTATAAATTCAGTTTAGCTAGTATTGCAAATGCATTTTGTTAAAGAACATTAGCTACTTTTATTTCCATAAAGTCTGCATGGTTCAGTTTTACGGGAATGTTATATACTAAGTTACACAACTCTTCTCAATGAGGGCTGCTCTCATTCTCATTCCTGCTCATCTTGTGTGACTTAGGTTTTTCAGTTTTCGTTCTCCTGCTCTCTCCTCATGACTTTATAAGCTACTTGTTGCATTTGTTTTCACCGTCTCAGGAAGTGTTTTCGTGAAGTAGATCTATGAAAATTTAGGCTCCCCTTTGTTTTGATGTAAAATATATTTCATGTAAAACTTTTAAGTTGAGAATGTTCTTTAATTTTCAATGTTTGGCATGATTTCTACAAAATAGAGAAATTTTTTTTTTAAAAAAGCAGCAAATTATATGGGATTAGAATCATTCTGTAAATATAATATGCAACACATCCACAAGTGTGTGTTGATATGCTTTACTTTTTCAAAGCATTATCGCTTGGCATCGCATCCTAAATATATACACACACATACAGATTTACACCTGTGTATATATTTTCAAAGTTTTCAAGACTTTAACCTTGTCACGACTTGCAGGTTGCAGCAGCGGAGGGTTGCTTCTTAATAGACTGTTCATATATGTATATGTATATATATATTTATACACACTTTGGATTTTATTTTGGACATTGTTTCAATGTTTATTGGTTGACTGTAGTAGTATGTTGCTAATAGAAGTGACAAATTTTGTAAAAATAGAAAAATGATGAAATGCGTTGCATGCACTCTTTATAATGGAACAAAAATTAGGAAGACAAATTAGACAATAATAATAAAAAAATTACACAAGACATTTTTGTTGATTAATAAATTATACTAGCTTTCACTTACCTACATTAATTGCCAATAACGTCAATGCACAAAATCTTTTCACAATAGCAAATTACATTACAAAATATCATTTTTTTCATTTTTTTTTTTCATTTAACATGGCTTTTTCAACTAAAATAACATAATAACCATTGAGGACAAAAAGATAAAATCATTTCCGCTATCAACGTAATTTTTAAATCAACAAAAATATCATAAAATTGTGCTATTGACATGATCTCTTGCATATTAAGCAAACGAAAAAAAAAAATGACAAAGGAAAGAACTAACCTCGGGAAAGGAACCAAACTACCCAGAGAGCGTACTTTCCTTTGTCATTTTTTGTTATGTTCTTTCCTCTATCTCATTCATCTCCGGTAGGATCCTCTAGGTCTCTCCATGTGTCTTACCATTGTTAATTTGAATATCTTTCGTATTCGGTGTCTCACATATGTAATATCAAAAAGTTCTCTCTCTATTAACGAAAAGTTTTTCGTACACTATATCCAATATATCTCTTTCCTTTCTTTACACATGTATATAATGTCTATGTTGATCGACCTAATTTCTATTATTTTGGATCATATTCTCACATTATGCTTGATATAGATAAATTTCTTACTGATTGAAGAGACATTCTTGATTATGCTATGCTGTAAAGAAGATAAATGTGATTTATCCAAAGTATAAAGAAGTCATTGTATACAAATAAAATCACTTTCATATGAACACTTGCAAGTATGTGTGAGATCCATTAAAAAAAATAAACTATGTAACAACACTACAGATAAAGATAAATCTTCTAATCAAGTTGGTGTTTGTATATATATAGTTGAACTCATTAATCAATATATATATTCAAACTTTGCATGGTTGTTCTATTGACTACTCAGTACCAATCAACAAGTAAATATATATATATATTTCATAAACAGTATTGAAAGTAAAATAGACCTAATGAGTAGATGATTTGATTTTGTCAAGGTGAGTACAGTAACTTCCACTACCAACGTCTCTGTGTGTCACCAAAGTCCAACCCTAAAGACATTTAAATCAAAAAGCCAATCCTCACTCACTCACTACTGTCTCTGCTTTGTTCCAACTATATGTATATATATATATACTACCACTAAAGCTAAGTCTTTGGATCAATAAAACACTCTATTACTGCTTTGACTAACAACCACTTTTGTCATTATTTATGTGGAAACTTTTGAATAATTAAAATAAATAAAATTTTAATATTCATCTTTTGCTCACCAATAGTACAATAATTTAGAGAGGCAATGGTTGGTGTGTCCGTTGAAATCTGTGGAGCCCACACAAAACCTATATTATGTGTGTCTCACTTTTTTTCTTTCTTTCGATGAAATCTCAATAGAAATGACACTGATTCATAAAAATTGATTCATGAAATCTTATGATTTATTGATTCGATAAATGAAACCCACATTCACGTGTACTTGTTGGATGAAATGAGACTCCATAATCGACAGAGTCACAATTGTTGGTTTATTTTTATTTTAATGTAATAATAATATCGGACAATTATGACTGATTTATATGAGTAGAGATCGACGGTTGTTAAACTAAACAGAAAAGTAGATCAAACACACAAATTTAGTGTGATTCACTTAAAAAAAATTAGAATTACATCTATGGGTTGTAGGAATTTCATTATTTTCATAAAAACGGAACACAATACTGAGAGTTAAAATAAAGGGTAAAGTACAAAAAAATCCTTAAACTATGTCCAAATTTGTAAATAACTTCCTTAAAGTATAATTTGTACATAATACCACATGAATTATCACTTTTTGTTGCAAAATGCTCCAATAACTAGACTATTTTTCATTAAATGACTATAATATCATTTCTTATTGAGTTACACTTAATCTATTTTTCTTATTGAAATAAATTATGAAAATAATTCATACTGTATTGATGACATATTCTCTGTTAAATTTGCATACATTTACCTTTAATTTTTGAAATTAATTATTTAAATAAAAATCTTAAGTAGAAAATTTTAAAACAATTTAAATATTTTTATTTTATTTTTCATGAATATAGTGCATGAAAAAAAAGATATATTTTTTTATAAGTAATTTATTAAATTTTCATGAATATATTGTATGAAAAAGGAGGAGTTACCTCCGGGCTTACTCTCGAATTTTAGAAATTTCACTTTTGATATAGTACCCTACTGAATAACATTCCTATAAGACCTTCGGTGTACAATTTTTATCAGGCTTCATACTACACGTTATCATGACATCGCTAATATTTCTGACATCATGATGACTTCAGTTCCTACTTTCAAAAAATTAATCGAATTTATCCGTATCATTACTCTTCTAATACTATATGAAATTCATAACCTCTTTCACGCGTACAATATTTGATTTCAAACTCGTAACACTATAGAGTAATATTACACTCACACACATACACACACATCTATTATTAGGAAAAAATATATGGTTTTCCTTGTGTAGGTAAAAGATCGTACATGATTAACTTCCTAAGAATAAGTTACCAACATAGCATTCCTTTCTTATTTACAACTTAAATGTATGGTAAGATAAAATTTCTACATTCTGATTTATATACATGCTTATATAAGTGTTAGCAATTAAAAAACACGCTTGACATATGAATCTAGACGATTTGTGACTAGACAATCACATGTATATGTACTATGTAATTAATATATATATATATATAATATGCATTGTATGCGTACAAAAAACTGAACATCTTTCAAAAAAAAAATGTGAGTCAAAACAATCAGCGCCAATCAAATGTTTTTCAAACCCACTAGTACTAGAAATTTTTGTACAATCAGATCGATCGTGATGTGTACGTAAAATTTAAAATAAAATTGACATATTTGTTTGTGTGTCGAATTATGATTGAATGAGATCATATAAGTCTCGATGATGTAATACATGATTTCATTATAAATTCTATGAGTTGCTAGGGTTCTAATCATGTTATTTATTTATTTATTTATATTTGAAAATATATTGTTTTAGGTCACACTCACCATTATATTTCTTTTCCTTGAGCAAATAAAATAAGTATTTGGCCCAAGTCAAAGCCAAGACCCTCATGCTGATGCTGTTAGGATTGAAAGGAATGAGAAGGAAAATAAATAAAAAAGAATAATGAAAAAAAAAGTAACTTAAATCATGTTTGGTTTGAACTAAAGACAGAGGGAAAAAGGAAGAGAAGGGAAATGATCAATAGCTTAACCCGTTGAATATCCCTTAAAAAAATTAGAGAATATGGAGAAAAAAGATATGAGGGATGTTCGGTTATTGCTTTAGTTTTGTGTTTTTTTGCTTTTGTTAGTGTATTGTAGCGAAACAAAAGCACAAAGTATATTTAGTAATGTTTATTGTCATTTTAATAATACCAATGCGTTTCCGAAATTGAGGTAAAAATCGGAAGCATAAAAATAATGATTTTGTTTACTTCCGCAATATAGCAAAATACTGTTTCAAAATAAATAAAAATTATCTAAAATGACATTTTTAATTAGTCATTCAATTTTTCAAATATGCAACACTTTTCACCAAACATGCTTTCATATTTTTTCTTCCAAAAATCTTACAATAAATTTACGTTACCAAACAAGATTCAAAATAGTGTTGAACACACTCTAAAGCAGAAACAGTGATTTTGCTTTGGATCAAAGCAAAAGTACGAAGTAAAAGCAGTTGCCAAACAGCCCTTAGTGATTATCTATAATTTATTCACTTTTTTTTTTTCATTACCCTTTTTTTATCCCCAATTTTTTTTATATCATCCTTTCCTTTCTTTCTTTTTTATTTTTTATTTTATTTTATTTTATTTTTATTATTATTATTTAATAACTAGAGCTCCCATAACGTTTACTTTGCCTCAAAGTTCTCTAAATTCCGTTTTAGAAAGATGATAATGAAAATTAAATTGTATTGAGTGAACAACTAATATTATTTTAATTAAATTAAGTAAAATATGAATAATTTTTCAAGATATTCAACCTCAATCTCGGCTAAAATGAATATAAAAGTGAATAGTAGTAAACATATTCGTGTGCAA